CCAAGTTTAAAACAAGGAAACCAAAACTCTTTAAAAATATTCAAAGACAAGAAAACAAATTCTTGCATTGTCTACATCCAAAAAAATGTAAGCTTTATTCTATACCTTGAGTTCATCATCTCTCTGGAAAGAGGCTTTCACTCATTTTTCAACTCTTTGTAATCTGACTTACCTCCCCATTCAAGTGGAATTGCTCTCTCTAAAGGTGAAAAAAAATCTTTAAAAAATAATTTATAATTTCATTATAGTTTCCTCCAGAATCCCTCTCCCCTTCCTTCCAGAGAACCATTTCATATAACAAGTAGTATTTTTTGAAGAAAAAGAAAAGAAAAAAAATCACCAAAACTAATGAATACATCAAGAAGTCTAAAAAATGTGCATTATGCAGCAGTTGTAGACACCCACCTCTTCAAAGAGATGGGGTTATATATGGTCTTATAGCTCTCCTTTTGGGCCATTTTGTATAATTTTACAACATTAACTTATGTTTTTTTGTGTATGTAGTTATTCTTTCTGTTTACATTGCGGTAGTCATTGTATATATTTCCTTGGCTATGTTTGCTTCACTCTGCATCAGTTTATGTATGTATCTTTCCACTCTTCTCTGTATTCATTACATCCATCATCTTTTATAGCATAGTAATATTCCATTACATTCACATACTATAATTTGTTTAGATATTCCTTAATTGATGGTTATCTACTTTGTTTCCAATTCTTTGTTGTTACACAAAAACACTGCTTATAATTTGGCATATAATAGGTGCTAAATATACATTTGCTGATTGATTAATCGATGTGTGTTGGAGCCTTGGTTGCCTTATACTAGTCCTAGCTTTGCCTTACTACTTAACAGGATTATTTTGAAAAACTGAAAAATCCAATATAAACGCAAATACTGGTTATTACCAGTGACTAACAATTAGCAACAAATCAAAGGGGCTTCACTGTTAAAAACATTCCAGGACAAAATTGGAATGAAAGCTTCTCAAGTATACATTATAACTGAAGCTATTATGCAGTGAAAAAACAGCAACCGCACATCAGGCCAATGTCAATAATGGATTCATATAAATTCCCTCATAATTCTGTGATTTCACTATTGTGGGAAACTTCTGTCGTGGAATCTCTTTCCAGTGAATTAGCAGATAAATCACAAATAGAGGTTAAGTGAATCTCCCCATGGTTATACAGCTAATAAATGATAGAGGTGATATTTGAGCCCCTATCTTAATAATATCCAATTCAGCATTCTACCCATAATACCATGCTAGCTATTTTTAGGTTGATTTAAAGTCATGCAAATTCAGTCATGAAGTTTCTGTTAATTTGACAAACAATTTGAGGACTAACAATTTAATGTTAACTTAGGATGTCAGAGCCACATTTATCTGGAACATAAACAGTCATCTATTATTTTTACCATTAAGATTTAGTCTTAAAGCTTTGAAGGTGCAATATAATCCTGTGGAAGAAATAATCTTAGTTTGTTTCCAGCAAACCCTCAGAACTGAAAATTAGATACTTGATATCAAGAAATTAATTGAATTAGGATTTTGAACTCCTTTGAGAGTGGGCATTTTTAAAGCTGTGAAATCACAGGACGATGAACATGAGAAACTTGAAGCCATAAATATCACTTGATAGAAAAAAGACCAATGAAATCTGTGAAAGGGCCTAATCTCTTCAAATAAGATGTACAGAATGAATTGAATAGACCTTATAGAATGGAGTGTTAATGTTGAGGAATCTGAAATAGTTTCTAGTGGTATACCCTTTTCATTTGGGTCAAGGGCATATTAAAATACATTAGTGTGTTCACTGTAATTTTTTCAAGACACTGTAATAAAAGGATGAAACCCAGTTATGGGTGAAGTTAGAGGTATGAGAAATCAGCTTAATTTATAGAAAATTGCACCTGTTTTTTCCCTAACATGGAAGATAGATGTTCATGTTTTGCTAGATTCTCATTAGATAAGATATGTAAATGCTAGAGTTTTGGCTTGCCTGATAAGCCCAAGAGGGCACCTAATCTATAGAAAATGCAATGAACAGACATGATTTTCTGGCCCGTTTCCCACTAGTTGAATTATGGTCATATATAAATAAGAAAATGAATTCACCAAATTAATTTGCTTCTTATCAAAATGTGTTTTGCTTCTGTGTCCTCCAAATAGTTTAAATAGATGAGTAGCAACAAAGTATGCCAAAAGGTTATTTAAAACTTTATGATAGGTGGGGCAGTGGATAGAGCATCAGCCCTGGAGTCAGGAGGACCTGAGCTGAGATCTGGCCTCAGACACACAACACTTGTTATGTGTCACACAGCTGTGTGACTCTGGGCAAATCACTTAACCCCAATTGCCTCACTAAAAAAAAAAAAAGCTATTCCCTGTGGTTTTGGTAATGGGATTGATACTTCTGTCAAATTAATCCAATGGCATGTGTCAGTTAAGTGCTTTTAATGTGTTAAGACACAATGAGAGGACAAAGGAATTCCCAAATGAAAAAAGACATAGTCCCTGCCTTCAAGGAGATTACTGGGAGAAGGGTAGGAGATGAAGTGCTATATGCACAGATAAATACAATTTAAGGAAGGGGACAATGGGAACAAAGAAGAGATTCAGAATTAGAGAATTGAGAGAATGGCAGTGGAGGGATTGTAGACAGTTCTTTGGTGGGTATCATTTGAGCTGAGCCTTGAAGGAAGCAATCATTTGGATACATTGTTCTAGTCATTGGGAAATGCAGATGTAAAAGATAGCAAGTCAAGTTCAGGGAATAGAAAGGCATAGCTTTAGTTTTTAGTTTTAGAATGAACAGTATGTGAAATGGAATATGTGAAGTAGATTCAGGAAAGTAGATTTGGAAACAGATCATAAAAGGTTTTGAATACTGACCTAAAGAGCTTATGTGTTATCCCAGAAAAAAGAGGGAACTGAAGGGCAGCCTGAGGTGTGAGTGGGTGGAGAGGATCCCTGGTCTGCAGTACCCACTTATTTTGGTAGACTTGGGATAGTTTATAATCTGATTTTGTGCAATTAGAACCTTCTCATTCATCTTGAATCTTTCCTTCCTTCCTTCCTTCCTTCCTTCCTTCCTTCCTTCCTTCCTTCCTTCCTTCCTTCCTTCCTTCCATCCATCCATCCATTTCTTTAATGGCTTTACTGTTTCTTCTGTTTACTCGTATCTTCAGTTTTGATTTCTGGATTTGAGGCTTGTGCTTATACTCTTAGGTATTGTGGACAAAATCTGCTTGGTCCTAGACACAGTGGTTAAGACTAGACCACACCTTTCAGAGATTTTCTGACATTGTATCCTTGTGTTTAGGCTCAGTCTGCTCTCTTTGGGTATGGTCTATCTGTGTGCTGGTTTGGCCCTGTCTCCTGTTGAATCTGGGCTTCTGATATGGCCCTGAACTCTTTACTGCTCTGGTCCTATTTCTTGCTGCAGCTGGAGCTCTGGTGTGACCCTTTGCTGGACTCTAGAACTGTCTCCTGCTATATTTAAAAAGGCAACATGTTTAATAAAATTTTCCTAGTACCATATATTTATTGTTGTAATTGGCCATCTCTCTTAAGCAGTAAGTTCAAAATGATGCTGTTCTATGACTAAACATCTTCATCTTGGAAGATAGGAAGAGGGAAATCATGAGAAATTACAAGGTGTGGTCATGACATCACCAAACTAGAGTCAGAAGGCTTGAGAGGGAGCTTAGGGAAAAAAAAAAAAGAAAAAAGAAAGAAAGAGTAGCTAAACAAAAGACAACCCCCCCAAAAAAAACCCCCCTTCATTATTCATAGACCCCAATTTGTTCATCTATAATGAGGGGACTTAACTATAATAGAGATTGTAATCTTTTGAAGGAGAAGAGCCATTTTGGGGAAAATATTTGCATAAAAATGCCTCTATGAAGATCTACTTCAAGAGCTATGTATATTTTTATATTTGTATTATCTGGTCTAGACCCATAATTTCCTTAGTGTATGGGGCCCTAACTAATAATATATTCCTCTAATATAATAATAATAACAATGATAACATATATATGTATGCAGATATGATACACACATATATACACATGTTTTCTGCATTAGAATGCAAGCTTCTTGAGGGTGAGGACTATTTTTACTTTTTTCCTTGCATCCTCAACACTAAATACATTGTCTAACACCTAATAAATTGATTCTGAGAATTACTCCTCAAAATCTTCAGTTTTAGAGATTTGCCCTAGTGAGGCACTGAGAGGTAAAGAGATTTATTTATTGTTACACAGTTAGCATGTGTGAAAGGTAATACTTGAAACCAGGTCTTCCTGATTTTGAGGCTAGATTTATCAACTATGCCATACTATCAGTTCTAATTTATGCAAGTTAATGTAACTTAATAGACTAAATAATAATTTTTCCAGAAGGTTCACATTATAATGTATAAATGTGGCCTGGGAACTGGAGAGAAATGCCTGAGGTGCTTCTGCAGCCTTCTTTCTTTAGGTCAATGAGTTTAGGAGGTCAGATTACTATTATTTTGGAAGATCATTCCCTGAATGGATCGAGATGTGAAAAAAAATTTAAAACTGGAGGTAGAGTAAGGGAAATGTGACAACAACAAATGCTAGGCTAACATGTTTCAGGCAAAGTAGTGGTGGGAGTAGAGGAGAATGTTTTCAAAGAGGGGCTACAATAAGGAAGGGGGTCCAAATGGGGTACTTCAGTAGGGGAGAGGTACTGTGAACAGCTTAGAGAGGTCTCTACTGGTCTAATATTCAATGTTTTATTATGGCAAGTGTTTATACATTAATGAGACATATCAATACATAGGTCCAGATCTGTTTGTTTATTTTTGGCTAAAAGAGCCACATGTATGTGTCTAAAGCTTTAGAAAGAGCTGGATGGTTTCTTTGTCCTTTCCCCACCCCCAGCTCTAATATTGATGATTCCATAGCATGCATGAATTTGAATTCTGTATAATAAAGATGTATTTTCTACCTAATTCTTTAGAAAAGGTGCTCAGAGCACCAAAGAAGCACACGAAAACTTCATGAAACATTATAAAAAAATATTTCAGAAAGAAAAGAGGATCTTGCCTTACCTCCCAACATCTCCAGCCAAAATGTAAGTAGCACGCCTTCTAAAAGATAGATCACTTTATACACATGTATGTAAGGCTGAAAGTAACAGGCAAGTTCTCCCCACTGTGTGTCAGCTGACAAAAATTGGTAATTAGTGGTTGTTCAGAAACATCTGTTTGCCCAGTAACACATTGTCCAATCTTTTTGCAAAATGATTATTTCCACTTACTGGCATTTTGTGATGTGCAGGAACAAAAGGTTATTAAAGCAATCTGGAGGGTTTATCTCCATTCAGTATACCTGGTGTTACTATTAGTGGTAATGATGGTATTTATTAGTGGAGAATATTTTGAAATGCATAAGTTATCTGAGAGTAAATCACTGAATCAAAGTAGAGGTAAAAGATTTGAGGAGGTAATCTTGCTTAACTCATGTATCCAGGCAGAAAATCCTAGATCCAGGCAGAAAATCCTAGACAAAGGTGTATCCCTTGTTTTGAAAGCTAAAAAAGATTAAGTTCTTTAAACTGAATAAAAGTAAAATGAATCATAAAGAACCAGCTTATTTTGTCAATAGGAGACCAAGAATTTTGTCAATGGGGAATCTGGAATTTTTTCTTGGCTAGTCTTCTAACTCAGTATGACATTGGGAAAGTCACATTTTGGGTCTCTCTCTCTTTTTTAAATCTGTAAAAGTTGTTTAGCAGTTTTTCAGTCATGCTTGACTCTTCATAACCCTATTTGGGGATTCCTTGATGCAGATACTAGAATGGTTTGCTGGTTCCTTTTCCATTTTGTTTTACAACTGAGGAAACTGAGGCAAACAGGGTTAAGTGACTTGCCCCGGATCACCCAGCTAGTAAGTGTCTAAGTCCAGATTTGAACTCAGGAAGAGGAGTCTTCCTGACTCTAGACCCGGCACTCTATTTGGGCACCACCTAGCTGCCCAAATCTGCAAAAGGCAGGATATCGTAGTAGATAGAGTCAGAAAGATTTAATTTCAAATTCTATTTCTAACACATACTACCTGAGTGACCATGAGCACATTACTTAAGCTCTCAGTTCCTCAGACAACTCTATAAGCCTATGAGAGGCAATGTGCTGTGCTGTAGTGGATAGAGCTCACAACCTGGAGACTGGAAGAATTAAGTTCAAATCTTACTTTTAGCTAAGCAAGTTCCTTATAACCTCTCTAGGTCTTAAATTCCTCATCTATGAAATGAGAAGGTTGGTCTTGATGACCTTTAAGGAAATTTTTAATTCTAAACCTGTGAGCTTCTGATCTTGAGTTAAATATGAATTCCTAACCTACCTTGAAGAAGGGAGTTTCCACATAGGAAATTTCCCCCACTGACGAAATCACAGGTATGAACAAAAACAAAACAAAAACCAAACATGAATGTGATATCTTGGGTAGTTTCAAAGATTACTTTTAGCTTCAAAATTCTGTAATTCTTTTCTTCATTGTTTTTCTTGATGTGTTATTTTACTCTAACATAACCTTTATACAACAAAGTGGCAATGATGAAATAGTAAAAAAGGAAACTTATCTTTGAGGCTGACAATGAGGTTCAAATGAATCTGACTTGGAGAAGGAATTAATTCTTTGAGTAGTAGTAATATAGGAAATGGTACCATAATGATAAGAAGCCTAAGGACTTGGAAGAAGTTAATGAACTGTTTATTCTCTGTTGGTAGGTGTGAGTAGATCTATGGGTAGAATTGTTTTTTTTATGAATATTTTAATGCCCTGAATTGTGTTTCAGCTCCATCGTGTCTTCTAGGATCAGCTTTCCTTTTTTAAAGAGCACATAATTGAGATAATTAATCAATCGACAGTTATTTATTAAGTGCCTACTATATGCCAAGTACAGTGCTTGGGTATGAAATAAAAAGACAAAAAATAAAATCTATGCCTTCAAGGGAGAGAGGGAAGAAAGAGAAAAAGCACTTATTAAGTGCCTACTATGTGCTAGATATTGTGCTAAGCCCTTTATGTTCTATCAGAGGAGAAAACATGTAATACATACATAAATATATACATACATATACAGATACACACATAAATATTCGATCATTTTTTAAAATTGCAGGATGAAGCACTGGTTTCTGAAGGAAACTTCAAAGGCCTTGTTTAAAAGCTGGACCTCATCCACCAAATCCACTCCATCAATCAATCAATAAACATTTGTTAAGGCACTGTGCTAAGTACTGGGGATACAAAAAGAGGCGAAAGACAGTTCCTTCCTTCAAGGAACTTACAGTCTAAGGAGGGAGACCACAATGCAAACAAATATATACAAAACAAGCTATATACAGGATAAATAGGAAATAATGAACAAAGGGAAGGAAGTGGAATTAAGAGAGCTAAGACTTCCTGTAGAAAATGGGATTTTAGTTGGTAGCTAAAGGAAGCCAGGGAAATCAATAGTAAAAGCAGAGAAGGACAAGTGTTCTAGGCATGGAGAGCAAACAGAGAGAATGCTGGGAGCCAAGAGATGGTGTGTCTAGTTCATGGAAGAACCAGGAGGCCAATGTCACTTGACTGAAGAGTAAGTGTTGGGGAGTGAGATGAAGAAAACTGGATAATAATACATAGAGGATAATAATAAGGAAATTGGGATATGGGAAATTTATATACATTTACCTGGCTCACATGATTACTAAATGTAAGAGCTAGATAACTTGATCTCAGATCTGGTGACCCTAAGACCACTTATTTTTAATTTTTTTTTACAACTATGCTACATTGTCTTCTATGAAAGCCTTGGAAATAGATGAGATTGTGAAGGGAGAGAGTGTAGAAAGAAGAGAACAGGTCTGTGGAGGACAATAATTAAGAAGGGATGAGAATTCAATAAAAGAAATCAGCCAAAGAGACATAGAAGGTTTGTTCAGAAACGTAGGTAGTGAATCAGGATAGGTTAGTGCCAGAGAAACTTGGGAAAAAGGAAGTATGTATAAGAAATTGGTGGCCAATTATGTTATAGAAGAACATGTTAAGAAGGACAATGACTGATAAAAGTAATCAGATCAACAAGTATTTATTGTGTGCCTACTATGAGCCAGGCATTGTACTAAGCACTAGGGATACAAAGAAAGGCAAAAAAGTCCCTTATCTCAAATAACTTCCATCATGGGGGAGACAACATGCAAGCAACTCCATCCAAAGAAGATGTATGCAGAATAAATTGGAGCTAATTTCAGAAAGAAGACACTAAGATTAAAAAGGACTGGGAAAGACTTCATGCAGAAAGTGGGACTTTAACTAAGAGTTAAAAATAAAGCCTGGGAAGCTATGGGATAGAGATAAAGAAGAAGAGAATTAGAGGCATAGTGTACAGCCAGTAAAAATGCCTGAGTTAGGAATGTAGTAATGGTTGTGGTTTGTCCTTCTTTCTCAAAAAGGACCATGATATCAGGGAGATGATGACATGACTTGCAATTGACTTTGATTTGAGTGAGGGAGGGCTATGCAAAGTCACTAGCCTCACTTTCTCCTCCAGAGCCATCTGGGTCCAGTGGCCAGACATCAATCAGGATGACTGGAGATGGCCCAGAATGCAGTGGGAGATCTTGGCCCTTTTAAGCTAAGGTCTTTCCAAGTTCTCACTTTGAGCGAGGCAATGCCCATTCAGGGAGAGGAGGGAGTAAGGTATAAGAAGATTGGAGCTATAGGAAGGGACTAGATAATGAAGGTCTTCATAAGCCAAACAGACATTACTGAATTTGTCTATTGGGAGGTCACTGGCAACCTTGGAGAGTAACGTTTCAGTAAGTGTTGGGGAAAGAAACCACTTGATGAGACAGTATAGTCAAAAGAATTTTTTGTTTGTTTGATAATAGGGGAGACCTGAGCTTGTTTGTTGCCAATACATAGGATCTATTAGAGAGAGAAAGATTGAAATTGAGAGAGAAGGAGTCACTACTACATAGGTAAAGATTCATCAGCTTGGAGAAAAGGAATGTAAGTGAATGGATACCTTCAAACCTACTATTTTTCCCCATCTTTTTCACATTGCATTCAAAGCACTCAATTGACCAAGGTTGACATCAGCCAGCTAGCATAAACAGTAATGATGGTGGGTGCACAGAATTTTATTTCCTGTAGACAGAAACACGGGTAGACAAAAGTGTATTCAGTAGAACAAAATTCCATCAAAGTGTTTGTACCCTATGGGGTAAATGATATTTCGGGATTTGAACTTTATGTAGACACCTAAGCCATTCTTCCTTTTGATCTGAGACAGGGATAGGGAATGAACCTGTGGTTTCACTAGTAGGGAGCTCCCTGGTAAGGTTAACTCCCTCTATCAATGCAGGTTAACATCTTTCCTGCAACTTAATGTTTTAGTTGCCAAGAGCATTGAGAGGCCACAGGACTTGCCAAGGGTCACATAGTATATGTCAGACAGAGTTTGAACCCAGGTCTTCCTGGCTTTGAGGCTAGCTCTCTGTCCCCTATGTCTCACTACCTCACTTTGATTTTAAAATGTGGTAAAATAGTTTTAGGGTTTCTGTGTTGTTGTCTGAATCTCCAAAAAATATGAATTTCTATTTTTGTGTTGATATATTCCATTTGTTGATTAATGAACTTTTAAGTCCTTCAGGGAATATTGCAAAACTAGATAATTTCCCTAGGTATGCAGTCTTCTTGGATTGCTTTTTTTCCCTAAAAGAAAATGAGGGAAAAAAGGAAGCTTAAAGAACTTTATTTTATACATATTAGAACAGCTAGATTTTGGCATTTAATTTGCAATTTTGTGCATACTTCAGCAACTAACTAGCAAAACTAATTTCTCCCCCACTCCATCTCCATCATCAATCATCATCATCATCATCATCATCATCATCATCAATATCACTGACATTTATATAGCATTTTAAGCTTTACAAAGTGCTTTACATATGTTATGTCATTCAGTCCTCACAGAAGAGTTCTATAAGGCAGATGCTATTCTTGCCCTCCCTTTCTAGATACAGAAACTGAGGCCCGAGATCTGTTTAAGTGATTTTCCTAGGGTCATACAGAGGGTAAATGATCTAGTGAAGGATTTGATAAAGGTCTTAGGTCTTCCTGACTCCCAACCCAGCACACTCTGTCACTTAGAGATCCCACTTTCTCTTAAAAGAGGAATAGCAGCATGGCATATGGCATTCCTAAGCTTCAGCTCTCTGTGTGTTTGCCTTGGAGTACTCACCCTAGTCTAGAGTTAATAAAGCTTCATGGTGCTTAGGAGTTGATGATGCATTGAGTGGGCAGATAGCATTAACTGTGGTGATGGGGGACAGGCAGAACTGGCTGTTCTGGTCCATGACAGGAAGGCAGACTGCTTCTGGCTCACTGGTTCCCCAAATCTCTTTCTGTCTGTGTCTCTCACTGTCTCTTTTTCACAGAACTAAGGATTATACTTCTTAGGATGGCTCCTTACAAAATTATGCAGCAAGGACCACAAATGCAGAAAGACTTTAGAGAAGAAAGTAATCAGAGCTTCTACTAGGGGTGGAACTACCCAGACCTGTAATGGCTAGGGTCTTGTGGATCAAATACATACACCAACACAGAGTGAACAGACATCCAGGTGATGTCCCATCAGCAGTCAATAAGAGGAAATTCAAAAGGGCATAAGGTTGTGGAAAAGAACACTGGATTTGGAGTCAAAGGCCACTTTGGTTCAAATTCTCTCTCTCTCTCTCTCTCTCTCTCTCTCTCTCTCTCTCATTCACTCTCACTCTCACTTTCACTCTCACTCTCTTTCCTTACTTGAGTGACCTTGGTCTTCATCTTCTTGGGCCTTCAGTTTCCTCATCTATAAAATGAAGAAATTTGGATTAGATGCTCTCTAAGATTTAAATCCTGTGATTTCCTAGGGAAAAAGGAAAATTGATGGCTGTGTCAGCAGTCTGTAGAACTAGAGATCAGGAGTAGGACAATTCCATAGAATGGGCTTGAGGTAGAAGTGTCAGTAGAAGGTCTCAGAAGAAGTAGGGGTACTCAGTAAGGAGCCAAGGCAAAGACATGGGGCACAAGACAGTAATCCAATTATTTGACATTGGACACAAGGTCAGGGATTGGTCACAAGGAACAAAGCAAGAATCCACTTACTAGAAGCAAGACAGAAGGAGAAGGGTATTAATAGCTAGGATACCCTGATGACTTCCCACTGGCCTTGGTCTCTTTAAATTCCCCTTGTTTGGATCAGGATCAGAGATGACTCTATAGGTCCTGGCTTCCAAGTCTAGGACCAAAGGATAGAATAAAAGAAAGAGTTTAGGTTGATCAGTTGCTATCAATTAGTTGATAATTATTTATTAAATTATTTATTAAATAGCCACTGTGTCAAGTAGTAAGGGGAGAAAAATCAAAAACAAAATGTTTTCTGCCCTCAAGAAGCTTATATTCTACCTAAGACTTTTAGTTTAGAAGATGGTAGGAATGGTACTATCACTGATAGAAATATACTAGATTGGTGAGGGAAGAAGACAAGTTTTGTTTACTTATTTTGAGTTTTATGTATATATATATATATATATATATATATATATATATATATACATATATATGTGTATACATATATATGTATATATGTATATATGGGTTTTTTCTGAGGCAATTGGGGTTAAGTGGCTTGCCAAGAGTCACACAGCTAGTGAGTGTTATGTGTCTGAAGCTGGAATTGAACTCAGGACCTCCTGACTCCAGGGCCAGTGCTCTATCCACTGTGCCACCTAGCTGCCCTAAATGAAGCTGTTTTGTAGACAGATCAAAGTATAGGACAAAAACACTAAATATAAAAATAGGTGTCATAGCCTTAAATCCTAACTTTTCTATTTTGTTTTATGTTATAGGGATAACAATTTAATACATCTGTGTAAATGCCCTTTCTCAATATAGTGATGCTTTGTACCAGCAGAATGAAAGAAAAACTGAATTTCACATGTTTTATTAATTGGAGACCTGCCAAGTTTCTCTCAGAGGGCCACAGATTGGTTAGGGGGGACAAAAGTCACGAGCTGGTAAATGTAGTGAGTTATATGCAAAGACAATTGAAAGTCACTACAATTTTTTGTTTGTTTTTGTTTAGTTGTAAAATGCAAAGAATACCCACCTATTCCTAAACTGTTTTGAGCTCCTTAGAGAGTCTAAAATCTTATTAAATATAATCAATCATCTTATAAGACACTAAGGAACTTGTGCCAATCCTTTGATTTCGTTATGCTGGCCATCTTACAGACTAAGTCTGAAAACTGGAGAATTCTATTCATGTTAGGAGAGGGGCACTTCCTAGTACTCTTAGAGAGCTGCATAAAAGGTGATTGGACCAAGGGAAAGTTGGTGGTGAAGTACAGGGTTTTGGTTATCAGAGAGAACTAGAGATTGCCATCTTTATGGGAAAGTTTGTTTTTTCTCCTCCCTTCCTCCCATCTTCCTCTCTATTAAGATGTTATGAAAAAAAAAAAGAGAAGGGAGTTGTCTATATTTTATGACCCTATAGTGTTTTCTGTAACATGAGGCATCTCTGAATTCAAAGCACTCAAATGAGATCATGTTTTATTTTATCAGTTCATGTTTCCTGGGTGGTCTTTTCCACTTTATATTTTTGGTTTTATAATGTCATACTTCTCAGATATTGGTTACTCAGTTGCTATCAGTACTGGTGGGGGTGGAGGGAGTTAAAAATGAATTTCCCCAGACAATTTTGCTTTAGAACCTTGTTATTTGTCAGACTTCCCTGACAGGAAATGATTTTATCATCAGATTCCATAGCACCCCAAAGATGCCTTGCACTCTGCCCTGTGTACCAAATGAGAACTCACTGAACTTAGTAACTCTGCCCCAACATATGCTATCCATTTCCTGCCACAGGTGTAAAGTCTGTTGTAAAAGACCAGCAAGGAAAGAGAAAATGTAGCTGTATTCAACAAGGCCATGATGTAATTGAATCTAGGAGCAGGAGAGACATTTGAAGCCAGGAACATATTTAACTGGGGTGAAAACTACAGTATTACAGTGACTAATGCTAAATTTAAGGGCTTTTTTAAAACTCCAAACAAATGTTGAGGGGATATCTAGGTATTAATGTGTAAGCAACAACAGAATTGCAGTTATTATTATCTTTTGGTTTGATAGCAGTATGATCAGTTTCTGCCAGTTTTGATTGTAAAACATTCATCAGCAAAGAAAGATTAGGGATTGTTGGAAAAATTGACAAGTTTAGATCAGCTCTGGCAAATGAATTTTTCAACTTTCAATATGGGAAAATATAAGGTTAAAACTGAGTAGAGAGTAAACAAAAGTCATTTGGGCATTGAACCTTGAGTAATTTTTGTTTCTGATTAGAATCTTGAGGAAGATTCCTATGGCAGAAATTCATGAACAAAGTAAGTAAATTATTACTTCTGATATTGCTATTAAAAAATAAATCGTGTGATTTAGCACCTCCACCATTAAAATCAATGAAAACTGAAACCAGTCAGTTTTATCCCTATGAAGGTACCCTATGAAGGAAGCTATTTTTTAAGAGCTGAAATTACTATAAAAGATAAATATAATAAGCTCAAACTGATTTCTCCACTCCTTAAAATTATCTGCTTCATAAAGTTAGTACTATTTCACCTCTAAGATAAGCAGGTGGAAGAGAAAATAGAGCAAGAGACCAGAAGAATTGGTCAGCTTAAATTTAACACTTAAAGGCACATTAAACATGATAGTAAATGAGAGAATTATTTGATCCAAATCTACAAATATGCAAGTCAATGGGAAGTTACTAGTAATGATGTGTGAACATAAATAATTGAGACCAGCATCAAGTCCTAAGATGGATGAACAATGCTTCCACAATTGTGGAAAATATCAGGAAGTAGAAAATGTTTTGACATTTTCTGCCACAACAAACCTTCCAACACTATCAATTTTTGTCTCTGTCTCTGTTTCTGTCTCACTGAGATTCAGATATGAAAAATGTTAAAATTAAATCCCCACAAAAAACTAACACATTCTTGTCAGAGCATACAGGCCTATACAATATATATATATATATATATATATTATATATATATTAATTATATATATATATATAATATATATATATATATATATATTATATAATATTATATATATATATATTATATATTATATATAATATATATATATATATATATACACAACACACACAACACACCATACACATATACATATATATACACATAACATATATATACATATATGTATATATACATATATATCTATACATGTATACATATATATATATATATATAAAATATTGAGAAAATATAAAAATGTAGTCTATATGAAATATATCTTCCCCAATTCCTACATATTGGCAGTAAAGCTACTGGGATATTAGAATTATTAGATATTAATTAATTAGATGTTAGGTCATACCTTCTTTTGGAAGAACACAAACTTAAAGGTAATTGGACACCAATAACTGCTTACAGTCTGGAATTGAAGCCTTTAGTTGAAAGCAGACAGCTAACACCAACTATAGTGTTGAGTTGGAGTAGAAGTGTCCCCTTAAACAGGAAACTTGTGATTCTTTTAGGTTAAAGTTGGGCCACATGAAATATTTAATATTTGAGGGAATCACAGCTGTAGGGCTCATATAGAACATTAATTATGCATTCCCCACAAGTAGTTGGACAATATTGTCAGTTTTCTTTTATAAAAAGAAACCACTTGGTGGGGGATGATTACATGAGAATGTGACCTCTTCTTTGTGGGAATTTAATTTATTTAAAAAATTTAATCTAGTCTGGGTGTACAAAGGTAGGGCTTCTTAGCAGTAAGAGACAGTAAATCTCCTTGTTTTCATGGATCCCTTCAACAAATCATAGACCCCAAGTGAAGTATGTATTTTCTTTTTCTTTCAGAAAGGGAGAAAAAAAATTAAACCATCTAAGTAGGACATGTCTCCTGTTTTAGAGTTGAAAGATGTAGCCCATTCTTCCATTTAAAAAATTAGTTTATTTTAAGCCCAGGGCCAGGCTTCAGTTTTGTAATTCTGTACCTTGCCACCTTAGGGCACTGCAGTGAACTCCCAAGGGCAGCATGGGATATTTAACATTTTCGTGGGAAATTTTAAATTTCTGAAGGAAACTCAGTGATATTCTCTCTGGACACAGCTGGAACTCCTCACTTTTGCTAGTTTATAGTTTCAATATTGAATCGGATTGTGTTCTGCTACATTCCTTTTGATTATGTTCTTAAATGCTTATCATATATATGTATATATAAAATATATATGCACACACGTATTTATTTGTACTTTTGGAGGCTGTTGTGATAAAAAGCAAATAGTACATAGAAATTAATGTATAACAGGAAAATGATGGTGGCAGTTTCCAATTTGATTCCAAAGTTTGAGAAAGTGTGTAATATCCAATAGGTGCATACATACCACTGGTAACTGTAGTTACGTAAAAATGAAGTAAACATTTTTTCTTTCAATTGATGTGTATTTTTTCCAAACTGTTACTAAATTGTTAAGACATAGGTACTTATTAAGTTGTTTGGATCTATGTGCTTAATAAAGGAACTATTAGGTATTTATTTCAGCCTTAGGGTGCTATGAAAAATTCCTGAGACACTAAGGGTGCCATGGACCAAGAAAGCTTGGGAACCTCTGGAGAAAATGATAAAATAGCCCTTAAGTCTCACTATTTTTTTTTTTACTTTGGGGAGTTTATTTTAGGTGGAAAGCTTCAAGTTTAATGACAATTGCTTTGAGCATTTAGGAAAATGTCTAATACTTAGGCAGAAATCCCCTGCCTAATATTACAAATATATCTATTTCTAGTTAATCATTGGCATCTTTGTGGTTGGAGCAAAATTCAATTAACTAGAACTATTTGGGCAACAAAATGGCATATTATGTCATAATAAGGAAAGGTTGAGGGGAAAGGTGATTTTTTTTCTTCGACTTCTTTTAGCCATGATCCTCCTTTTTGAAAAGCTCGTAGAGCCAACAATTATCTTTTATCTCTGCAGTAGCTCTGTCCACTCTTTGCTCCATGCTTGCTCCAACTTCTCCAGACCAGATGCCCTCAATCTCTTTTCCACTAAATTCTGAAATAGTGTCTTCATTTTGTACCAATTTTTAGAGCACAATGTCTTAGATTGATTTACAAGCCCTGTTTGTATTTAGTTCTGATTATTTGATTCAG